AATCTTATTATCTGCTCCAATAGCATGGCTAAACAATGACCACCATGTGCTGTCAGCCAGACAGAGTTCTATCGAAAAATTGACGAACATTTTAGAGTCAGGAAATGACGCCAAGTGATCATAAAACCCAGCAATAGCAAGRTTCTTCCACTGATAGGGATTTCATCACAGCATGGGACTGAATTGTTCTAAATAAAGTCTGGAAATTATAAAATTGGTTTGGCAGAACCCTTCTGAAACCTACAGCACGGTGCATTCTGGTGTAGCTTGGGTGCAAACAACATCATAGAACAACACTTATGCCGTTTGGGTAGAGGGTGCTGGCTTCATACCTTTACTCTGATATGTTTGCTATCATCAGCTGAAAGCATTGAATTCAAGAACACTCCAATAGTGAAAGAGCTGTAGTTGTAATGGAATCCTGGAACTGCTGCACTACTGTTTGTAACTTCGTGTTGAGTCCAGTCTAAAACAGCATCGGTTGACTGAAAAAGAATGAGAACTAGTATTATTTATGTTAGGGTTACTGACGTAAAAGCCACTCCAAATTCTCCAATTATTCTCAAGCCCCATTTACACTGGCGATTTTTGCGGCGATATTTGCTGCGATTTTTGTGGCAATTTTCGGAAATATGAAATCTTTTGTCTCATCCTTCAAAAGAGACGTTTGTCTAGGAAAATCTTGGTATCCTGAAAAAAACTTTACAAGTAAATTCTTTACCATTATTTATTATGGACAACTGCAAAAAAATCGCCGCAAAAATCGCTAGTGTAAAAGGGGCTTCAGAGGTCGCACTGCAATTTTTTTCTCGACAAAATCTTGATTTTCTTCTTTAATTCAGTCATTCAGAAATCGTTTCATAAAACTGTGTTCTATTTTACTGAGCTATTTCTAAAGTCATTGAAACAAAATTTGAATTTTGCTTTTTAATTGTCTTTTTACATTTGTTTGGCTTCGACTAGACCCTAATTATACCAAAAACCATGAGTAAAATAATGATGCTTTTAAAAATACTGTTTCTATGAACCAGTTCAATTTTGTATATTTAATTAAGCCTTAATAGACATCACACTTATCAGCATATTTGAAGTTTAAACCTTCATAACTTAGAGACGCATCACTCAAATCAAGAAATATTTTACCATTCAACTATTTACTTCGTGTAGAATCAGATTAGTACTGAAATTATTGTCGAAGGGTTCATGAAATGCTAGTCTCATACTCATCTACTTCGTTGATACAAAAGATCGATTATCGCACCATATTCAAGCAAACCTTAAATTCAAAAGACGAAAATATAGCGCTTGAAAAATCCTCTTATTTCGGCTCAATAAGTCATTTCATTTCCGGAAAGACTCTTTCTATTGTTTCCCCCTGGGCCAATCAGAATACTAAAAAAGTCAGCCTCTCGTTCCTCGGTGCTGAACAAGAGGAACGTGGGCCCTGGGTTCGAATTTTTGTCGTTTCAAATTTCATTTTGTCCTCATCTTCCATTTTAACAGAAAGCGAAGCGAATTTACGTGCACATGTAATGTCTTGTCTGTAGATTTATAGTTTTGTAAAACATGATAAAAGTAAACATCTTCTGAAAGCTAAATATACGTAGTTTTCGAAAAACAATTTAAAAGTGTGTGTTTTGGAACACAAAAAAACGTTATTTGGTTTCTCCGAGGTTTTTGAGCGACAAAAATAGTTTGTTTAAGACGTCTTAGCTCTGAAACTTTGGATAATGATAAATCGGTACTCTAAGCGATCTGAAAATGGGGTCTAAGATCTCTCAACGGTTTTCTTCTATTGAAAAGAAATAGCCTATTTTGC